GTACCAGGGATTGAACTCCGGTCCTTGTGAGGCAGGTGCCAAAACCACTGAGCTAAATCCCTGGCCAGGCTTGGTGATACAAATCTGTAATCATGGATGCTTGGGAGGTTGAAAAAAGGAAGATTGCAAGTAACTTACTAGAGACCCTGTCTCAAAATAGTATAAAGGTCTGGGGATGTAGAAAGTACTGGGGCTAGTACTGCCCCTAAAAAGAAAAAAAAAGTAAAAAATAGCTTTATATTGGTTGCAACTATGTAGCCATGAAATAATTTAATTATTACTAAAACACTGAAAACTACTGAATTCACCACTAAGAAGTTTGGTCTAAATACCTTGATTGAAAACAATTAATTTACATTTGCATTAATTATAATGCAACCTCTATTCTCTATAATACTTATCAGGCAAGTTTTTAAAATACTTTTAAACAGCAGAGTACTGAGGTGGACAATTTTCAGTGCCTCCAAAGTAAATCTCTTATCCACTAGATTCCCTGGCATTTGCATTATTATATTAAACATATTTTATATGTTTTCTCTATTATACTTTAAGCTACATAATGATAGAAATCATGCCATCTTCATCTTCACCCTATCAGTAAGCATTTTCAGCCTGTTCAGAAGGTGCTCAGAAAAAAATACTTGAGAAATTTTCCTTTTCCCAAGATAATAATGATCTCAAGATAAACTCTTTCATATTCTGAAATGAATTAAGCTCTCACATGATTCAAATTATTATACAGAGAGGTTCTAACAGTGTCAATATCTGGTTATGTTAATGTTTAAGCAACAGTATTTTCAGATAAACACTGCAATGATTTTCATAATCTTTTGAGGAAGTAAAACTTAAAGCATGTTGCTTAAGCTAAAGTTTAGATTTAAACATCTGAGTAAAAGATATGTTTTTGGAAAGTATTATGTACAATCATGAAATCTTACCTGAGGATTCCAACCTGGGTCTAACTTTTTAACTACCGCGATATATTCTTGCATTGCTTGGGTGGGGCTTGAGTCACCAAGAGCTCTCCATGCTTCCCTACAGTACAGAATACCCAAAACGGCCTGTCATTAACTATGTAAATAACACATTTCTTTTTATTATTAAAAATTACATATACATTCCAAGGGGCTGGGAAGGTAGAGATAATAAGCTATGCAGAGAGGAAGAGCCCTTTCTGTTCACATTTACATTGATCTTTAGCCTTACAAACCTTATCACTCCCCCTAAGATGCCTTTGGGAATTTTTTTTTTTTTGTACTGGGGAATTGAACTCAGGACCTTGCATTTGCAAGGCAGGTGTGGTGCCACTGAGCTAAATCCCTGGCTCTTTGGAGAAATTTTTTTGTGACTGCCCACTCATGCCGAATTTTAATAACATACACTATATATCTATGAATTTTAGAAGATCACACGCCACTGTAACCTGACTTTAATCAATCCCCTAAAACTAGTTTTTACTCCTAATGAGAACATATGCATAGTCGACAGAGCAATAAAGGTAGTTCCCATCCTATAAATTAACTCTATTTGTGGCATTTTGGTTGTATGGAAACCAATCATCACACAAGAAACAATATTCCCTGGAGGAAAGTGTATCAAACTTTTTACTATAGACTCTATAGAAATATAATTTTCCCTTCTGTTCTTATTTCATCTATAAACTATACAGTGCAAGCAAATTATAAAGTAAATGTTTAAATAAAATGTATTATAGTGATAGGTACCCTGGCATTATTTCCCCCTCAAAATGCTTTCCATTATTTGGAACAGATTTATATGATCATTCTTGCTACTTTTTAAAGCAATTCAAGAGGTCCTCTTTTGTGCCCCCTCAAGAGGTGATAAAAAAAATATGGTGAATGCTGCTGCCAAGTGCCATCCAATGGAAAAGGAGTCTTCTAAAAACAACATGATATATCCTCATCTACCTTCTGACTCTTCCTCAAATCCAAAATGACCATGAAGGGTAAAAGCTTTGCATAGATTTAGAACATACAGGCAGCCATGACAGTGCAAATAAAGACTCATGATAAAGGGCTTCTAGAACTGTTTCAGAAAGTGGCACTAATGAAGGGATGTGTTTTAAATAAGGGGGAGGATTCTGACAGAGATTAACGTCAGTGTCTTTTACACAACGAATACTTAAAAAATTTTAAACATTCATTGAGTTTTTCCATCAGATCCAAAATAATGGATCTTGAAGCCTCAGTTAGGGACTTCAAAAATGAGGGGTAGTAAAGGCAAATCTAAGAATACAAATGAGTAAGAAAGTAGGAGCATGATGGAGTAGGGATGATGGCGCAAGCCTGTAATCCCAGCACTTGGGAGGATGAGGCAGGAGGATCACTGGGAGTTTGAAGCCAGCTTGGGCTACAAAGTTGAGTTTAAGGCCAACCTGAACTACAAAGCATGACAATGTCTCAACAAAAAAGAAGAGAAAGAGGAAGAAAAAAAAAGGAAAAGAAGAATTTCTGGTCACACACTGGGTATAATAAAAAAATGGTTAATGTTTAAATTTTAAAAAATTGTATTACAGTAAAACACATTGTCATAATGCCCCTCAAAGTACTTTTCTTCCTATATATCTCATCATTCTTACCACTTTCTGAAGCAGTTCTGCAACTCCTCTTTACTGAATGTCTAGTTGGGTTGCCACGGCTGCTTCCACAATCTGAATCCATTCAAAATTTAACTTTGTGGTCATGCTGACTTCGAGGAAGAATCAGGAGTTACACAGCACGAGGCCCAATGAATAATGTGAATGAGGACACAGCACAAGGCTTCTGAGCCTGCCTTTCCATTGGATGACACTTGCAGGCAGCATTTACCATATTTTTCATCATGTCTCGTAAAGACAAAAAAAGACTTCCAGACTGCTTTTGAAACCAGCAAAAATGAGAAGATATTTGTTTAAAGCAAGGGGAATTAATTGGCAATGTGTCTTTTACTATAATATTTAAACGTAAACATTCACCATATATTTTGGTCGCTTTTTTGTACCAAGTACATTTTAGTTCTAAGACCCCTTCTGAGTCAACCTTTCCTCTTTCCCTCCTTCCTTCCTTCCCTCCCTCCCCTCCTTCCACTCTTCCTTCCTTTGTACAGTGCCAGGACAAGTCTCCATCTTGGTTTTTCCCTGCTTTTTCTCCTGCCAATCAAAGTGTCTCTATTTCCCTGATCCACTAAAACAGAACACAGCCCCATAGTTTATTTCAAGGAATGAAACTTCTAAAACATGAGCCAAAATAAACCTCTCCTCAGGTTGTGGGTGTTCGATATTTTGTCCCAGTGATGAAGAAAGTGACTAAGACAGATCTGATAAATGATATGAGGGAACCTCTGAATTGTAAAATTTTAAGAACTTAAGTGACTATAATCCCCTTCATGTATTCAGAGAAGTAAAGTGAGTCAGTATTTTATTTTGGATGCTTTTCTTCCTTTTTCCCAAGAAATTATCATCAGCTTTTTTTCTGTGGCATGGATGGAGCAAGGGACAAAGACTATTGAGAAACAAGAAGCTAACAGAGGGGAGAAGAGTACCAAGTGGGGATTAATCCTATTCTTTTCCCTTCTCATTTTCTTGGCTAGCTTTCAAAGATGACTCCAGATGGGAAAAGTCATGACCCATTAGGTTCTGTATGATATGAAAGAAAAATCTTAAGCAACAGCTCTGACAGTTACTCTCACACATATTCCTATGTAAAGAATGTACGTCTACTGTGATCTACTTATATACCAACACCATTGCACAAGAATCCTTCAGGAGATTAGCTAAAAGCAGATTCTTTTAATCCTTCCCCCAAATGCCTGTCCTTAGCAAAGTCTACAACAGAAAGATTAACACAAAATGTTTCTTTAATCTGCTCTAATTCCTAAACACCTAAATCACTTCCAACAGCCTTATTAAAGATTCCAAGAATGATTTAAGTGTAGTGGCACATGCCCAGCACTCAGGGAGTCTAAAGCAAGAGGATGGCAAGTGTTAGTCTAGCCTGGGTAACTTAGTAAGACTCTCAAAATAGAAAAAAAATTTTAAAGGGGCTGAGGATGTAGCTCAGTGCAAAGATCCAGGATCCCACTACTACAAAAACAAACAAACAAACGGATTCCAAGAATTTCTTACCATTTTTGCTTTCCTTCAAAATCAAAGAAGCTTGGTTTAGGAGTATTACAATTTCCAACTCTGACCTACATAAGGAGAGGAAAAAAGAACTTATTTTTCAATGATGTGTCTACGAACTTTTTCTTTTCACATTTATAAAGGCAGCTTGGACTTACTGCATAAAATAATTGTTATCTAATATTATAAAACAGAAAAACATGGATGACAAATACTTTCATTCCTTAATACACTAATTATAAATTATAGATCACATAGTCTTTATTATCATTATAATAGAGAAAAACTTTCAACATGTAATTAACAAAGGTTCAGATTTTTAGAATTCATATGAATGTTTCATGCTGATTCTACTAATACTATTAGCATTTTATATCCCCAAAATCTAGGACGAAGTGTATTATTTTTAAGGTATCTATTATGAAACTCATCAATATAAATTTAGATGCTAAAAACAATGCAAAAATATTTCAGGGGTTCTCAGCAACAAAATAAACTCTATTCTACAATAATCTCTTATTTATGGTGCATCATTGTCTCTTTTTATTATTATTATTTTTTGAGACAGTGTCTCACTATGTAGTTCAGGCTGGCCTTACACTCACTATGTAACTCAGGCTGGCCTTTAATTCATGGTGATTCTCCTGCCTCAGTCTACTGAGTGCTGGGATTATAGGCATGCACTAGCATGCCTAGGTCAATGATTATTTCTAATCCTCAAATGACATTTGTAATTAAATTACAGATTATTTTCATTGTGAATATGCATAAATGCAATTTGCATAAATGCTTGATTGCCACTACCAGAAGTAATCTCCAACTCTCATGAAGTCTTAATAGCATTTATCTATCTATGTATTTCTTTTGACACTTTTATGTGTTCTATCTTGTATCAGAAAGTATTGTGTAACATCTTATCTTTCTTTCTATTAGAACAGAACCTCTAAGAAACTGCTTGACTTACCCACAGCACTTTCTTCTTAGGGACTTCCCATTACTTTCTACTACTCTTGCACACTTGAATTTTACTAAAATCAAATTAATGTTGTCATCAAATCATAATGTTCTACTCAATGACATAGGGATTTTTAATTGTTTTGTTCCTATTATTTCATTCAGCCAAAATGTCTTCTCTTTTTCTCTCAGCTTTTCAAAAGACTTTACCTTCTACCAGTCTTGTTCATAGTTCAGATTTGAAGAACTCTTTTGGTCTACATAATTTCATTTACCTCTAAATTCATAAAACTTTATTACCTCTATCATCTCCTTACCAATTAATTAATCTCATGGCTACAATGAAAATATATACTTTTATAGAAGCAGTCCTGTTATGATGGAAAGGAGGAAAGAAAAAGAAAAAAGATGTGCACTTCTTAAACCATCACCATAGGCTAAGGGCTTCATATTATCTCAATGAGCCCCACAACGATCCTGTGAGGTACACCATTACAAACATATTTTGTAAATAAGGACAAAGAAGTTCAGGATCTTAAGTCAGTAGTATATGAATTCAGGACTGAACCCAAAGTCCACTCAGGAGGCTGAGGCAGGAGGATCACTGTAAGTTCAAGGCCAGTCTGGGCTACATAGGGAGCTCAAGGCTACATAGTGAGACCCTGTCTAAAAAAAAATACAAAAAGGTCGGGGGGACTGTCCTTCCTTTTTCTTTGGCTTGACTAGAAAGTGCATTTGGTGAAGGTAAGCCTCTTTGCCCATGAAAGATGAACTTATAGCAGCAGTTTTGTGTCTTATAATCCATTTACCATCAGAAATTACAGACACTAGAAAACTTTTATTCCTGTGAATTCTATCTAGTGATATTTACTATAGAAGTTAAAACAGGTATTTTAAAATATGTATTCATTTGAAAATTACAGTAAACATACGTTAACAAATTTTAACGTTTATAAAAAATACATATCTAAAGTCAAGAAATTTAGTGAGAAAAATGTTACTATTTTTCATTTTATAAATCTAGTGTCTGGCTTGGTGTATTTTCATATTTATTTCTATATCAAATATATTGGTATATGTTTCTTTGGTTGAAGTAGATGAAAATTTAGCATCACAGATACGTCATATAACAAAGTACTTTGTTATCATTTTCAGGTAACTATGAATATTCTTCTTTGATTCTAAACAAAACGCAACAAGTGGCAGTTTCCTTTTTTTCCTGGTGTCCAACTCAGGACCTTGTGCTTGCAAGGCAGGCCTGGTGGAAGTTTCTTTAACTTCAATCAATGAATTTTTCATACTCTTATACTAAAAACTGTTGGTCTGATTGCACTTTGAATGGATCCTTTACCTACACCCAATTTGTAAATTACTCAATGAAATATTTAGAAAATACTTAGAAAATATTAGAGCATATTTAGAAAATACACCGAGAAATGCATTTCGAAATGTTGACATAATTTCATCATACAATAGCAAAAGTTCACATTAGCTATCATCACCACTTATCTTTAAAAAACATAAAATAAAAATTTAAGTACAGAAGCTGTCAAGCTCACAGTGGCAGATTTTCCAAACTTCTAATTTTCACTTGAAAGCTCAAATATTATCACTGGCAACAAACTTTTAGTTGTTCTCCTTAAAGTGACAGGCTCAACTTCTTTCACTTTTAAGAAACTATCTGCCAAATAGTACTCAAATCTGAATATACATAATTTATCTGTGAGTTGTTCTAAATAAAAATGATATTCCATGGAGAAAAGTGGGTAGATCAGTTTGGAACTTAGTGATTTTCCTCACAACAACCAACATAATTTGGTATGCAGCTGAAGCACCTTGAACCCCTGTACTCAAGGGTTAATACAAAGAATTTTTACTGCTTTAACATTTAAATGAAACCAACATTTTAAGTTTTTACTCTGGGTACATAATGGTAAATAAAAAATATGACTATATTTCCTGCCATTGCCTTGACAAATATGTTAATTATTGTAAAGCATTTATTTTTCTTTCTGGTATTTAATCAGTGACCCTTTGAATGATAACTTACATGTGTCTTCTATGAGTAACTCATACATTTTTGTACTTCCAGGTAAGGTCCAGGGAAGGTTCAAAGCTTTAGATGGAGTCAGGAGTTATAATGTAGTTAGTTCTGACTGATTTATCCATGTGACTCTAGACATGTGTGCTCTTGGGTTTTGGTACCGGGGATCAAACTCGGGTCCTCATGCTTATGAAGCAGGTGGTGGAACCAAGCTAAATTCCCAGCTACTTTTCCTTTTTTTTGTAAAGGAAGACTGTTTCACCTGGTGTTCACTACCTCTAAAATATTTATGACCGACTCTAGGACAGAACACATTCAGCCCAAACATAAGTCAAAACATAAGCCCAACAGCCCCAACATAAGCCCAAACATATTTAGGGTTTAAAAAGAAACCCATGAAAAGTTCTAACATTTTATTTTGTATTGCCTCACTTTATTACATTAATATTATCTTAGATATCAAAATAGTTTTATAAACATTACCATATATATTCCCTTATGGCCTTTCAGCAAGAGTAAATGAATAAGTCATATTCCATCATCCTCATTTTGTACAGGTTCTGAGGCTGGTAAAGTGGAAGGACACTGAGTAAGCCAGAGAAGTCACAGAAAAACCGTCAGTGGTCCCGCTAAAGAAAATATCACTCCTAGGATGGGAGACAAATCTTTCCCATGTCTAGAATGATCAACAAACAAGACAAAACACACATACATAAACATCATTACGCCTCGCCTTAAACCATGCACGACTGCTCTGTTTTGGAGGAACACTGAGAAGGCCCCGTGTCTCTATCACATCCATCCCTTCGCTACTTTACCTGCTTGTACCTGGCATACAGGTACAAGAGCTGCTCCCTGCTGGCCACCTGAATCAGGCCTTGGAGGTGTGCGGCAGCCTTCTCAAACAGCTCGGTCAGGTTCCTGGACGCCTCGGTCTCGGGGGTCTGGGGCGACCCCACATCGCCAGAGTCCTCCCCGGAGCTCAGCTCTCCACCGCTGTGGCCCGTGGTGGCCCCCGCCGTCAGGAATGGTGTGGCCATGACTCCGGTTCGGTCGTCCCTCCGTGTGGGTCAGCCCTCTTTAGATCCGCTGCTACCGGACTAGGGGCCTGGGACCGCAACTCGTTCACTCCGCGCCCCTCACCTAACGTAACGGCCGCTCCGGAGGGTGAAGTCCCCGGCGTGCAGGGCCAGCTCTGCCGCCCTCCGCGGCTCTCCCAGCTGCCCGCTTCCCCCGTTCCTTCCTCGCAGCCGACCTCTGGGCGCCC